TGAAAATTTTTACATTTCTCGACGTTTTGAAGGTTTCTGAACATTTTAGCATACCTCAGAAAAAATGGATGTGTGTGTGTTTGTGTGTATGCATGTATGGATACAAATTTCCAGTTACGTTTTCGGGCGCACGGATCAACCGATTTGAATGGTTCAAAAAACATTCGATTCCTATTGATAGGGAGAAGAGCTGATTAGTTTTTGGCAAAAGCCGGTCCAGCCGTTTCGGAGATACGGATAAAAGAGTGCAGAAAATGGAAATCGAGTTTTTGAGAGAACGGAGTATCCGATTTGAATGATCTAAAAAACGTTCAATTAGTAATGATTGGGAGAAGTGTTTATTAGTTTTTGGCAAAGGCAGGCCCAGCCATTTCGAAGATACGGAGCTAAATATGTAAAAAATGGCAGTTTTTGAGAGAACTAAGCGTCCAATTTAAATGATTCAAAGAACTTTCTGCTTGTCTTAAAAAATAATTGATTTTGAAAAAAAAAATTTTTTGTATTTTTTTTTTCAAAAAAATTTTTTTTTGTATATCGAAAATAATTCAGATTTTTATTTTTAATTCTGACTATAGTTCTAATATATTTTAAACAAATAATTTTAACTTTGCAATTCAGTTTATATAATTCTTATAAATATTAGACAATGTTACAATATTAATAATAATCTATTCGAAAACATTCAGTATTCCTTGAACATTTCGTTACGGTACGGAAAGTTCCAGCAATTTGCCTTAAGGCACGATGCCATACACCCCACTAGTTTAATTTGATATTGATTGCAAATATATAGGGAAAAGTGTTTCAATATATTTGTATGTTTCAATATGAATTTCTACTTTCGGATAAAGTTCAAACTTGAGAAAAACTTAACTAAACAAAATTTTAACTGAATAAACCTACTATTTGTGTGATATAGAGTGGGGCTAAATAAATAACAAATAGGTATTTTTAAATTAGATTAATTAACAATTAACATACTTGTTCTAAAGTGGGTAAACGTTCATCTACTTACGATAATTGTTAAACGTGTAAAAATTACATATTTTAAATATAAATTTATAAATTAGAAATTTTGAATATTTAAATATATTTGATCAGTATTTGGTTGTGATAGATATTTGGATAGACTGATAACAATTGAAATTAATTATTAATTATTTGTGTTAAAAGTTAGTTCGATTATTATCATAATAATGATATTTACAAAAAAAAAACAATTTAATTTCATGGTATGCGATTTGATTATTCAAATTAATTCGATGGATTCTATAATTTTTCTTAGGAATACTTTGCAACTCGAACTTTACACAATAATTTATTTGAAAAAATGTGTTCTAAAATATATTTAATTTTTTGTCTATTTGAATAGTGATCATAGAACTACATGTTCTATGAGCTGTTATTCTGGCATATATCTGGATCTAGATATATTTTTAACAAAAGGGCAACCCAGTGGACAACCAAGTGAAGAACTCTTTTTTGTACATGTATATATTTGATATGTATAATAGTTTTGGCGTATAACATAAAAGTGAATCAATCACATTATCACTATCTGCAGAAAATATTTATACTTGGTATATATCAAGTAAAATAATATATATTAACAATTACAAGATAAACAATATTTACTCTCGTCGATAAATTTCTTGTATTATTATAGTGTTTGCTCTGAAATGTTACCAAAGATATAAATTACTATATTTATACAGCTCGCCATATACCCGCAGACAAAGTTTCCATAAGTATCTCTGTAATATAATATAGTTGAATCTATGTAGTCTCCAGTAACCGCATCCGATGACGCAATACTGTAAGTTGCACGACTAACCGCTCGACTGTGTGTCAACGTCGGTGTAGTTTGTACAAATATAGTTAGAGGCAGCTTCGTCTGTCTACAGCAATCAAGTAATCTATTCCGCCTGTTTGCCAACCCCCGACCGTGCTCGAACCACCAGACATTCGCAACTGGACGTAGGAAATCGGACAAATTTTTGAATAAAAACATTTTTTTTAGTGTTTATTAATAATACGTAACGCATAAAATGTTATTTTGTGACAGCCAACAAATAGAGAAACGCACATTAATAATGATCAATTACAGAAGCAGAATCGAAAATTAAAATCCCGTCTAGAACAATCTTAAAGTGTGGTGCTTAAAAGTTTCCGATCAAGATTTAGCCAACGAAGTGTATTTGGAAAGCCAGCCCATAAGACTAAATCTCAAATTAACCACTGATAGTATTCAGATACTTTTATTTTTTTATTATTGATTTATTTTTCCGTTTTTTTTGTTTCTGTTTTAGATTCTTTACTGGACGTATCTATTAATATCCATTTATCATAATGTTATTTTTTTACATACATTATCTCTCTGTTTCACGGCTTTCAACAGATTAACAGATCGCCAAAGTAATGAATTATAAAAAAAAAAAACAAATATAGGGCCTAATAATTTCAAGCCCTAAGTCTTATATAGCCGATTTACTATTTGAAAATAAATGTGGGAAAAACAAGTAAATGCTCATTTTTCATCAATATTCAATAACGAATCAATAACGAGCAGAGAGTTTTTATGTCTACGAGTATATCTATATATCGAAGCTTAGTAAATGACAAAAGTTAATGTCGGAAAATTTCACAATTAATTCAAATATATTAGAAAAGTCTACACATTGCCACTTGTAAAATTTTGTTTTTTTATTTAAATCGTGAAATATTGTTATAACTATTCTGCATTTTTAATATGTATAATAAAAACACATATACATTTTACAATCGATTATAAAACTGTAGTTTGTCTAATATCAATATCCGAATCGTATCCAACAGACCCATTCCTTAAAAGCGGTGCCCATTCAACCCCCAATGCAAACATTTCTTCCACTACGAAGCCACCCTCACGGGGATGTTGGGACTTTGTAAGAAGCGCTCGAGTGCACAAGGGTTGAACTCAGAAAACGCGAACGCGGCGCTCTTGATATGGGTTATATAGGCTTGTTGATTTTTAGATTTATTTTCTTTGCTGTGTGTGAACTTATTTATCTCCCACATCTGGTTATAATAAAATCAACTTACTGATATTGTGAATTTTTGCCACATCGATATATATATAAATATATATATATATATATATATATATATATATATATATATATCTTTATCATCTCTACGATCCAGTTTTTAAAGCAAGCGTTGCATCTTCTTACATAGGATTTACAATGGATTTGAGGTTATATACATATGATTTGAGTATGAGAATAGAGTTTTGTGAGTGCTGAAGTTCTGATTTCAGTCAAATAAATATTTTGAATACTTCTTTGAAAGCTCCTAAATGCTTAGATACGATTAGCGTAAAAATTTAAATTGGTTTGACTTAATTTTGATTCTAGTGTATTGGGAAGGTTTTTTAAAAAGTCACCAGTAGACATACATGAACATCAATTTCAATGAATCTAAAGACGCTCAACAATTATGAGTCTAAAGCCTGATTCGACTTATACTCAAAAAGTACATATATTATGACTTTAATAAATCGCCACTGAATTTTTAGACCCCTCCGACTACTAGTTTTTATTTTATAGCAATCTGACAAAATCGACAATTTTCGCAATGGGGTACCATTGGGAAATTTTTCGGGTAAAAATCGAAGTTGCTCTGATTTGCCTTATATTCAAAAAGTATATCATGGCTTTAATAAATCGCCAATGAATTTTTAGACCCCTCCGACTAATTGTTTTTATTTTATAGTGAAGCCTTCTTATGCGAAAATTATTTCATCAAAGATTTTGTTTGATAGACATGCATCTCTACGCATGTCGTGATTTTAAATTGTGTAATTCAATGAAGCTTACTTTCATTAACAGCAAGTAACTGTAAACTTTTCCAATTTTAATCAAACAACGTTTTATCAAAGAAGGCAAAAAGTACTGTAAATTGCATAGGCGCAACTACTGCGTCTTCAACAAACCAGGGACTTCTGTTTGTTGCTCATGGTCCATAAATTACTGACACGCAGCACTCCCATCTAAAGACCAGGCCTACGCGTCGTACAACAACATACTATAAACATTCTATAAAGTATAAATCTTCGTTTGCCTGCTAATAGAAACAAAGTGCTCTCTCCATATAAAATCACCCATTCGTTTTCGTTTCTGTCTAGCATCACAGGGAAGATTTGATACTGAACGTTTACTTTGCGGTTCCGAAAGCGTAGGCACAATCATCCCTTTGGCATAGTTACAGAAGATGAAAAATCGACAATATTTAGTACAAATTTGCTAATACTTTGCAAATAAAATCATATGTGAAATTTATATTTTTATCATATTTGTACTGACAGTTTGTAATAAAAACTTTGAATAGTCCAGTGTGTCGTATGTATAATCAGAATAGGATTACTGGTTTCGTACGAACCTCAGCCACATGCAAATATACATCTTTCTGAGATACGTTATATTTCATTCATATTCTGTAAATACCTAAATCACGTCGACCCTGTGTATTTTCAAAACAATACGTAGTTTAGAAACGAACACGAGAGGGATAACAACCCCATACAACGATTTGTTAATTTTCAATTATTTACATCGCAACAACCCTTAGCGTCGCGCACCCTCTGCTCTGTAAGCACCCCTGCCATTGATTGCAATATGCACACGGCCAATATTTGAATTAAAATTCCTCATACCACTGATAATGCAATGGGGATAGTAATAGGCGCATTGTAGGAGAAGCTGAATATGTCAATGTCAATGTATGTTGATGGTATTGATCTTTATTATTTACAGATTGCGAATAATTATATTTTCATTATATTTTAGATATAATATTGATCTAACGAATAAAATATAAAATAATAAAGTAATGAAAAATGATCATTACTCTTCAATAATTAAGTTGTATGAATGTCGTTGCGAGGTATAGTGTAATAAATCTTTGACTGCAATAGTAATAATGGTATATATGTGAAAATGTATTTTTTTAATTTTTTGCAGAGAAATTCAATATCACCTGCAGAACGAGAAAAATACAGGCCGCGCAGTCCACCAGAAAACGAGCATAAAAAAATGAAAAAAGAAGAAAAAGATATTGGTCATGTGAGTACTTATGATAAAAACTTATTATAAAAAATAAATAACATTAATACCTTACATATTTCAAAATGGTGAAACTCGAGTAAGGATAATATAATAAATTATTTACAATGAATTTATTCGATTTATTAATCTGTATCTTAATCAAAATTCCAAAAATATTAATCTTCTTATGAGTATAAAACGACTAATGTATTTATTTTCTATAACTTTCGGTAATTTGTGGAATCAAGCTTTAACTAACTTTACAAACGTGATTTTCTGAAGTCAAGGGTGCTTCATTCCTATGTGAATGACCCTCTACATTGCACGTTAACTGTTTAAGTGATTTCGGTGAATACTGCAAATGAACTTGATTTGTTTCTCATTGCAAGCTAATTTTGTTGTAATGAAAGTAGAGAAGCAAAAAGTTCAGCGTCGTCAAAAAATACTAATAAAATGCACTAACGTCTAAACGTATAATGATTATCTAGCTTTTAATTATTTTTTATTTATTTTAGATTACCACAGAAACTAAAAAATGAGCTTAACTCTAAATCGTAAATCGAATAAGCTTCAATTAATTAACCATTATCATTAATTTTTTTATAATCATTATTTTTGTACTTCAATTGGCGATAAAGCCAATTTAAAAAATTGGCTAATATTTATTTCTTATGGATACATTGAGTTTCGGTTTGTCTTGACATAATGCGACTCTGAATTTTTCTCAGTGTTAATACCAATTTCATCTGGTAGAACAAAACAAATTCGTCATCGTTTTCGTCGCATTCATGTTTTTTGCATCACTTTTGTCTTTTTCATTCCAACGTTTCGTTTTCAACTACCGCCGCCGCCGTCGCTGCCAGAACTAAAGTTACCGCCCGAAGAAATGAATCCGCTTTAAATTTATAACTCGTGTTTCCGTTCCGACTATAGAGCTATTTGAAGTAATTGTTTTTATGTGCAGAACGATGCTTATGAGCATTAAAAACACAGCACTGTACACTTTTTTGTTATTTTGTTATTCTTCTCGCGCTATCTCTCTTACCAATTGGTCACGGCTAAATGGAAGTCGCACTCGATAAATTTCTCGAGTCAGAATTAAAGCGAGTTTGTCTCACTCGATGGCAACTACTAACTAACGATAACTGATGGGTGTGTATTTTTGATTTAGTATTATTAGAAATGAATACATATAATCTTATGGTAGGCACAAAAGCTTCCTCTGTGCCCTAGAAATTTAATTTGTGATTTCTTATAGGAACAGAATTTTTTTGAAATATTCAAACCGATTGATCAGTGTTCTCGAAATCGTCGGCGAGAAATTGTATCTGCACATACATCCATTGTATAATGTAATGTAATACAAATGTAAAGATATATGCATATAATCAAATTCAATTTTGATTTTTTGTGATTACTATAACTTGCCCTACGGAAAGTTAATTAATATATGCAATCTTAAAAATAATTAAATAAAAAGTTGCATGTAGAGATATTTTTCTCATTAATAAATTATACAAAGTTCTTATGGTCATTACAATATTATAAAAACACAAAGAATTACAACTTATATACTTTTTCTTATTTATCTAATTTATTAGTGAAACCCAATCACTTTCATTGCGTTAAAAATGAAGTTTAATACTTCATTTCAGTTCGATTCTGTTTTTTAAAAATTATTATTTACGAAGGGTTTGTGCACTGTTATCGCTTTTTTTCCAATGAATTCACGTTTTTTACGCCGTGTGGAACCCGACCGCGAGCTTTCAGGTTTTTGTCAGCGTCGCGGGCCGTCTGGACATCCAAGAACAATAACGTCGAGCAAACCGACCGCCTTTTTTCAGCAACCATTAGCGTAATGAAGTTCATCTCGTACCTGCTAAAAGAAAGTTTCGTTTTGCATCTATCCTCGGGTGTTGATGCTCCTTCAGTAGATTTGCTCTTGAGATGGATCGTTACGTGCTTTTTATAGGTCTTTTTACGATCCAGACTAGGTGCAAGTTTAGGTGCACTTTTTTGCAATTGACAATAGTTTTACAAGTTTTAGATATTGAAAAAGCTTGAACTTTTCATACACGTCTAATCGAAGTTCTAAAGATCTCTATTTAAAGAATTGCCCACTTGTACAAGGGCAGCGCAAATTAGCTAGCATGAGGTAGAATATCGAATCCATTTATCTAATATGCATGATACATTATTCAGTTTTTACACATAGTTTAAAATCACCTATTTTCATTTATTTCAGCATATTTTGTTATTTTAATTAAGTACGTTCATCTCCTTTGAGCTACCCGGAAAGTCTCTGAATTATTGTTTTGAATTTTAACTTAGGTTTTAAAACTTTAGGTTTTATTTCAAATTGGGTTTAATTTCCATATTTATTCATTTTTCTGCAATGCACCGCTGCGGAAATTTTCAATCTTTATAGCGATTAAAATTAAGAATGGCCTCTCCTTCGGAGTCGATTATGTTCAGTTCACTGATGATAACATCAAAAATATGAAACAGGTGGTATAAACCCGTGTTGAAATTTTGAATCAAGATAATTTAATTTGATTTTATTTTATAAGTTCATTCGCTCAAAATTTATTGAAATAGAATGTAGCAGTTAAGTTAATATTACTGGCGTTTTACCTGGCAGTCATTTTACCCTTGTGCATAAATATATGCGTAGAAACTCTTCAAGGCCGTTACATTAAATAAAGAATTTTGATGATCTTTATTGCTAGGCGTTTCAACATATTATTTTATGTCGTTCTCAGCGGTACGGCAGACACATAGTACACATGTACACTTTTATCCTATGCAAATACGTACTCTCATTTAAAATATTGTTCAAAATTATTTTTGTTAAATAATAACGAAACATAATTTCATAAATATTTTTTAAATTTAATTAATGGTTATTTATAAAAAGTTAGCACCCTAGAAAAATTTGAAATCAAATAATGGAGTTTTAGTAAAAATCTATCAAATATAGATGGGTTAATTCGTTACTTCGTTCGTTATTTTATATATTTATTATTATTAATTATTTTATATATGTTTACACGAAAAGTAATAAACAAAACTTGATCAACCGGAATTAAAATGAAGAGCTTTACCTCTAACATCTATAAGAAGTATATGAACTGAATTGCAATGTTACAATTATTTATTTGAAGTATATAAGTGAGCTTCAATAGTTTAACTAGAATTAAAATTAAATTCCAAATCATGTTCGATATTAAAAAAAAAATTTCTCATCATCACGAATTTAATGTTTTTTGAATCATTCAAATCAGATGCTGTTTTCTCAAAAACTTTATTTACTTTTTCTGGACTATTTTCTCGGTATCTCGAAAACGACTGAACATTTTCTTTTTTCCGCATTCACACGCACGCATCTATTTTTTCTGAGATTTGCCAAAATGTTCAGAAACCTCTGAAACGTGAAGATATGCAAAAAGTTTCGTTTTTTTGGCGATTACAATAACTTGAAGTTAATACGAGAAGTTAATAAAAAATATATATGGAGTTTCGAGCTGAGTAAAATCGACAGAAGCTTTGCTAAAATACAAATAGATTTATTTTCTTCACAGTACTAAAAAGGTTATCTATCTCCGTTTTAAAATAAACATAAAAACAAAACATGGCAAACGAATGCGCAACCTTTCATTCGATAAAGGTATAAAAAACAACAAGAAAACGAGAAGTTCCGAGCCCGCGTTTAGCGGATTTCACGGAGAATTCGACTGATTCGTTCCGCACGTTTTAATCTGCCCGTGATGCGAGCAATAAAATCCATTTTCTATGTATTTGTATGTGAATATTTCAAGCTCTATAGTGTTATTCAACGTTTTTACGACATTTCTATACGTAGCCATTTCCGATTCGTTGTCGGTCATAAGCAAAATAGAATGTGATACTCTATAAAATTTATTAAATTTGAATGTATATAAAATAGTGTTAGTTAGAAAATTTTGCAATAACTTAGCTTTTTTTATTAACATGCAGTAATTTGTGGTAATTTGCTTCAACATATTTCGTTTCTTTCCGCTGTAAAGTTGGGCTAGTAATCCCTACCTGAACATGCCGCATAAAAATATGTAGTCAAAATATACTGTTAAAATATTCATAATGCACACACACATATATATATATACGTATATATATATATATATATATATATATATATATATATACAGACCAGACTTGACGTCAAGCCGAAACGGCGTGATAGTATTATCTCATGTTGTTTAGAAATTATGAGCTTGTAAGTGCAACTTAGAGCTTCGGTGAAATTATGACCATTTTTCGGTTATTATGGTTATTTTTTACTAATTTTGTTCATTTGAATTTTGGGAGCGTAACCGTGAATAACTCTTCTAGGACCACAATAAAAATCAATAACACAGTTGTTCCAAGTTTTCAAGAATTAAGACTTTTTATTGAACTATGAATTTAAAATTTAACTATTGTATAGCATTGTGCATTAAGGATGTAACTTCCCGTACTTACTTTTCGTGCTTTTAAAAAAAAGAGAACTGAAGAAGAAATTGGTAACAGATCTATTCAAATTATATCTATTTACCCCGCTATTACTTTAAAAAACTTTTCTCTAATGTGAAATTATACTACTTAGAATCTTTGTATTGCCTATTGAAATATATTATTTGTGGGGCGATATATTTATTATCAATGCATATGTAGACTTTAGTTTGATAAATGAGATGACAGTTGATTTTAATTGCGCCATTTCAGTGATCGTGAACCATAATTTAGTGTTTCATTCATACACCATCATAACGAAATGCGTCCAGTCGTTTCATGGAAGCCCATCTTACTTACAAATGCTGCAGTTAGCGATAATGATTGCTTTCATAATATTAAGAGAACCATCGATAGCATTGTGCATATTTTTATGACGTACTGCAATTCGAAGATTCATATCTTATCATACCCAAATGCATTTTGGGTAACTTGCATTCTCTATAAGTAAATAATGTGTTTATTATTTTATATTCAGAGTGATGGAGAAAAGAGTGACCAAGATTTAGTAGTAGATGATGCTTCGGAAGAGCCTGTTTCTCCAGGACCACACAACGGCACAGCAAGTCCACGAGAAAATGGACATGGTGGTCCTGGAAGCGCCCAACATCTCGACAAATTACCACCTAAGAAAGAACATGCTTCGCTTGGACCTCATTCACCTAGGTAAATATAACACTTTTGGTAAACATTTCATAACGGGAACCAAACAAGTTGAATAAGCATTTAAAATGAATTTCGAAACCAATCGTCATTTTTGTTATTTATATTATTTCTATATATTCTTGGTTATTGTTTATAATTATAATAATTACAAAAATATTTTCGTAATAGATCAGGAACGTCGAGTAATGCATCTACTCCATCAACAAAGAAATTGGATGGTGATAAACCGCCAACGCCTATCTCCAAATCAGTAACTCCGACTAGTGGCGGATCTAGTGGATCAGTTGGAGGTCCTGGAGGCTCTGGATTGAAACCCGTCGTCAAACCGCCTGCTTTGGGGGCCGGCTATCCTCACTATTTAGCTACTATGAATGGTAATTTTTATAATTGATTTCATTGCTTAATAAATATGGTAATATATAGTTTAGTTTAATATTTTATATTTCTCATTTCTCAAGGTGTAGGACCACATGATCTGCAAGCAGCATATGGAGCAGCGAGTGCTATGCACAATAATTTGCCGGCAGCCCTCAATAATTATCCGCGACCACCACTACAGGTGGGCTATGATCCCACCAGCAAATGCGCGCTCCTTTAGGACCAGCCGGTTTGGGAGCAATCGGTGGTGGAAAACCGTAAGTTTTGGAGATTTTAATATTACATATAATTTTTGTAAATAATTAAATTTTACTAAATATTCCAAAAACTATATTGATTTGTATGTTATTATTTTGTACAAATAGTGGTTGCTTAATTTATGAACTATTTATTTTGAATTTTATTCCTGCGCAACATTTTTTCTTTCAAGAAATTTCTTGAAAATGATTCGAAATTATGTGTGAAATTCTGCAGTCTGCAATTCAACGAAATCTGACATAATTTAAAAAATACAAGTTTGCAAATTTAAATTGTTTATTATACTTTGTGTTTTCTTGTACCTAATAGCCTCCATGTTAAGTAAAATAATATGATTAATAAACTTATTTTCATTTCAGAGCATATTCTTTTCACGTGAGCGCTGACGGTCAGATGCAACCAGTACCATTTCCTCCTGATGCACTAATAGGTCCAGGAATACCTCGCCATGCCCGTCAAATTAACACACTTTCTCATGGTGAAGTTGTGTGTGCGGTCACCATATCAAATCCCACTAAGTATGTGTATACAGGAGGCAAAGGTTGTGTAAAAGTATGGGATATTTCACAACCTGGAAATAAAAATCCAGTAAGCCAGTTAGATTGCTTGGTAAGTAGTTCATTAATAATATATTCTAATTGTACTCTGATGCTCTATGTGTTCTTATAATTTGAAACGATTTATTATTACAGCAACGAGATAATTATATTCGTTCAGTGAAACTTCTACCAGACGGTCGTACACTAATAGTTGGCGGTGAAGCTTCAAATTTGTCCATTTGGGATTTGGCGAGTCCCACTCCACGGATCAAAGCCGAACTGACATCTTCCGCGCCCGCCTGCTACGCCTTAGCCATTAGTCCAGATTCAAAAGTTTGCTTCAGCTGTTGTAGCGACGGTAACATAGCCGTATGGGACCTCCATAATCAAACTTTGGTGCGACAGTTCCAAGGGCACACGGACGGCGCCTCCTGCATCGATATCTCCGCCGATGGCACTAAACTCTGGACCGGCGGCCTAGACAACACCGTACGGTCATGGGATCTTAGAGAAGGCAGACAATTGCAGCAGCACGATTTTAGTTCGCAAATATTTTCATTGGGATATTGTCCTACGGGTAAGTTTTGATATCAATTCATTATCCGAGTTCACAGCATTTTTCGTATCTATATTTCTATATTCGTTCTGAATCGAATGAGACCAAATTTGAAAAGGATTGTGTGTGTGCGTATGTGAGCAGATTTTTGACCTTTCGTCGATGTTTTCCCATTGTGCTGAATATCTTAAATATGATTTAAAATCAATTTTTCTATCGATTATAATGTTTTGTTTTAATCAGAATACCTGACTTTTAGTAGATCTTCATTAGGGTATTTATATGGTATATTATATCATATTTTTTTCTTTATAATTAACTTTAGTAAAAATTAACACTTGTGCAAGGCGTTCAAAAAGTTCCTTTTCCTCATTTTTGGTCATATTTGTAAAATTAAGAATGAAAGAATGAAATTATTAATGTGAGAGACTATTTTAATCGACTTTTGGAATTTTTCATTCGGCAATTTTCTCATTCATAACGAATTGTTTCATGTAAGCATACTCGTTGTATATATTATTATCAAATATTTGATGGATTGTTGTAATTTCAATATCAAGTAATTGGAAACATTCAATATATACCTATACTTTTTGGAAACCCGGGATAATCCGGGACAAATATTGCTTTCAGAAAAACCCGAGACACGGTGTGAAAATCCGGGACTGCCCCGGCTAAACTAGGACGTATGGACACCTTATATGACGGCATTTACAAAAAATATTAAATTGGATAATACCTATTTGATTTCTTTTATTGTTTAGTATGTATTTATTAGATACTTATATAAACAAATTTAGCGCGAATAAGTAGCTTTTACTCTGAATGCGAATGAATACAAGCGCAAATTAATACGGAAGGTGGTTAATTACAGATAAATTCATAGAAAACTCATAGAAAAATATTTTTTTCTTAGGTGAATGGTTAGCAGTTGGTATGGAAAATAGTAATGTTGAAGTGCTCCATGCATCTAAACCAGACAAGTATCAATTACACTTACACGAGAGTTGTGTATTGTCGTTGAGATTTGCTGCTTGCGGCAAATGGTTTGTTTCAACAGGCAAAGATAATCTTTTGAATGCTTGGAGGACACCTTATGGTGCCAGCATATTCCAGGTTAGTGTACTCCACTCCTAATATTTAAAATAAAATATTTTAAAAATATTTTTAAATTAAATATGAAAACTATTTACCATAATATGTATAAAACTTATATTTTTTACCAAATTCTTAAACAAATATTTATTATAATATATTTTAATTTTGTGTGAACTTAAGTACCAACTATCCATGTACTTTCATTGTATGAATAAAACAATAATTTTATGGAATAAAGACCATATTATCAAACTTTCGACGATAATTCGTTCGTTCAACAATTAGTCTATCAATAATCATAATATTATATTCTTCAATTATCACAAATATTTATTTCATTCATATTTATTAATTTTGTATTATATTTTTAGTCGAAAGAATCATCCTCAGTTCTGAGTTGTGATATATCAGCTGATGACAAATATATAGTAACTGGTTCAGGTGACAAAAAGGCAACAGTCTACGAAGTTATCTATTGAATATGTTGCAAAAATGAAGAATTATCCTATCAAGGAAAATGTCATTAAATCTTGGTTGGATTTATTTTTGCATCTTTGGAAGTGTTACGTTGACATGTGTCTACTTATAAAATTGACTTGTTTTGTTATGTAAACTTTTAATTCTATATTGTTAAACAATTGTGATAAAACATACAATATTATGTATTGATGTAATGGATATAACAATTGTGCTGAAGACATTGTGTCAAAAATATATTCAGTGATAAGTACATGTGCTGTACATACCTTATTCTCCATGACTTGTGTTGAAAATATATAAAAATTTTAAATGCTACTTTTTGCAAAATTATAGATATTAATTAGCGTTTATGAAAAATATTATGAAAAGGTTTAAATTGAATAAATATAAAGCATATACTTCAAAGGAAATGTTCCTGTGCACAGACTAATAGAATGGAACACAGACGAAATTATAAATAATATTAGTTTAAGATGCATATTTGTGTATATAGTTAAAAGTATGTGCTTTGTTTATGTAATTTGTATTATCTTTGCAACCTTATTATAGCAATTTTGAACGCAAATAACGGTTATTCAAATGGGTTTTACATTAATGAATTGCAAATGAAATTTTGCAACATTACAAGGCAACGGAATATAAAATACGTTTTGAGAAAATATTTACGATGAATATGATATAGTGTGTGAAACTTCATGTACTATAATATTATATTTGTATTATATGTATTATAAATTCATACATGCACACACACACATATGTATATATATATATATATATATATATATATATATATATATAGTTCAAAAATAATAGCAGCTAATTATTCAACCAACATGATAATATAACTGTTACGGATTCTTCACAATTATTCAATATTGAATAATTCAGAATATATATATATATATATATATATATATATATATATATATCATGTGTACGAACATATATATATATATATATATATATATATATATATTTTTATATATATATATATATATCGTACATGTGTATGTACATGTATATAGGTATAGATGTTTTTTTTGTACATACATAATGTTTATTAGTATATTTATAAACTATAGTATAAAAATATAAATGAGTTGTTCATTTACTTTTTGCAGCACCATGACTACATTTGAATCTTGACTTTCTAAGACATAAAATTAGAATAATTAAAATATTGTGCTCAATGTATTTTTAACAATTATTACTATTCTATGGTATGAATGTATTATGCCTGCATTATCTATTTTCTGGATAAAGATTACATAATTATTTTCAATCAGGGGCACTTTACAAACTGCTAGAATATTAACAATTATTTTGTTAAAAAATGATCTAAAAGTCATCAAAATGTTCAGGATTAACCTAAATTATTCTATCAGAACTTGTTACCATGTTGCCATTCCATCATTCAAGATCAAAATGCGAGAATATGATTCTTGCAATGCACAACTAATTTATAATTTAACATCATTAATAATCGACGATTTTGTGTTACTGAACCAAACCCATCAAGTTCTGAAATCTAAATGTAGTTAAAACAATTAGTATCAAGCAATTTATACTTTCTACATTACAATCTTAATATTTTATATTTACAAAAAATATATGATATTTAAAATTATTTTGTTCATGAATACATAATATGATTTATTGTTCGCAATTTATATTTTTCATTTTCAAGTCTCTGAAAATATATATATATATATTGAATGAATATTTTTTTTGTTTTATTCTTTTACTAATTAGATATTTATAAAAAATAAAACTTTTTTCAGAATAATAATGCCAATTTGAATTAAAGATCATTTATTTCATAAATTGTGTTACTGGCCGAATATGTTTATGTGAAAACTAATTGCCAACAAAGTATAATATCAAATTAATTAAATAGTTAATATCAATGTTAGCAATAAATAGAACTATACTCTAAAATTTAAATTCTTGATCAGAAATCCAATCTATTGCAACTCACAATTTCTTAATGATCTTAGATAATATTAAGATATCTTTTATGATAATAAAAAATCTTCAAAATTTAATTCAAATAGTTACTTATCATATCATATGGGCGTCATCATAAACAATCTTTAACACGGTGAATTACTAGTCATTCTGCCAGTTATTATTAAAAATAACGAGATGGGGCCAAACATAAATGCATTGATGCATTGATGCATACCGCACGCTTTGAAATACAAATCTATGGGAGGAGTGTTTCATTTCACACCTTTTTTAGTGATAAATATTAGAAACACACCGTACTACGGGTACAGGTTATTATAAACATAAGCATATTTGCTGATGTTTATACAAACATTAATATACTCATTAATTTGTTCTTCGACGAGGATGATCAATACAGTTAATGTAGTTATGACTTTGACCATTTTAAATAGACTAATGTATGGTTTTTCACTCATTTCAAACATGTCAAAAATATTAATATTTTTCACTCGCTTTAATCCAGTGTTTCCAACGTTGGGCGCACTCCTCACCGGGGGGCAATTTGAAAATTTTGTTTATTTGAATATGATGCAGTATAGTATCGGCAAAACATTTAACAAAACATTTAACAAAACAAACTTCTTAGATTCAAATAAGATGTCCCGTTTTCGCCGAGACAGTTCTAGTTTTCAACCATGATCATTATGTTTAAAAATTATTGGTGTTTGGTTGGAATATTTCTTCACATCCATCAAATAGTCCTGACCATGAACCATCTGATTAAAACCCACGAATTAAAAAAAAGGATGGTGTCAAATTGTGCAATTTGTGTTTTTGCTAATAATAATTAGAGGTTTTATAAACGTGAAATAATGATGCTTCTTGGAAGATAAGACTTACTTAGTTGCTAACGATAACTACAAATTTGTAACAAAAATGCGCACTTTCTTAGTTTCCAACCTAATAACTACAAATTTTCGTTCCGGTTTTAAAATAAATAATATAATAATTTAACAAAAGAAAGATATAGCAATTAGATAATATTTCGTTCTGAGTTAAGAAAATGTCAACTAGCTAAGTAGACTCATTAAGAAATGGCTTTATGAAGAAACTGTAACCAAATACCCTATTGTAACCCTATGAACAAAAATTTGCTAGAAATAAAAAGAAGACTTGAATCTTGAAACGCGAGAATCCCGTATCATCCCCTAATAAACCCCGAATTATCCCGGAACAGGGGTGAGGGGTGACCATACATAAATTTTTTTTCCAAAAATTTTTTTGACCAAAATTTTTTTTCTCAAAATTTTTTTGAACAAAATTTTTTTGACCAAAAATTTTGTTTCCCAAAATTTTTTTTTTCAATATTTGTTGGACCAAAATTTTTTTGACCAAATTTTTTTGACCAAAATTTTTTTCCCAGAATTTTTTTTCCCAAAATTTTTTTGACAAAAATTTTTTTCCCAAAATTTTTTTGACAAAAATTTTTTTCCCCAAAATTTTTTGGACTAAAATTTTTTTGACCAAAAATTTTTTTTACCAAAATTTTTTTTCCAAAATTTTTTTGACTAGTCCTTCTGTCAGTTATTATTAACATGGCACGAGATGGCGCCAAACATAAATGCATTCGGCATTGATGCATACAGCACACGCTTCGAAATACTGCAAGGTCGATTATGAAATAACGACCTAGCAGCTGTTTCATTGAACTAAGAGACAAAGATGCGCTTAAGAGAAATCCAGCATACAAGCCAGCGCCAACACCTGCGCCGCTGACGAGGAGCTTCTCGTCAGCCTTACAACCCACCAACGATGGCCGTAACAGCAGATCTGCGTTTCCTGAACTCCCGGTACCATCATCGCTACGTACACTACCGGCCTCCCAGTATCCATCGCCAAAGATCCAGCCAGCACCAGAACCGATCCGGCCAGCATCCTCACGAATCCGGCCTACCACCAGCCAGTCCGATCCAGACCTGAGTACACCAGAGGGACTATTTGCTGTTATGGGTTAGATCAGGAAGTTATTCGCGGATCCCGAGGTAAGACAAATTTTCATGAGCTTTATAAACTGACAAAGACATTGAACATAAATATGACTTACAATGACAAATACACAACCATACTTAACTTTTTAACGGCATGCCCATAAATCACGCACGCGACATACACATAATGTACTTCAACTCCAACGGACTCAAAAACAACGTAGACGAACTGAAACAGACCATAACAAAATATGACTTGGACATTGTACTAATTAACGAGACACACCTTAAACCTACGGACAGACTTTACATCAACAACTACAAAGTATACAGGAACGACACACCGACAAACTCACGCGGATGGGGAGGCACTGCAATATTTTGGGGAATATTTTTTGGGAATATTTTTTCAGGATATTTTTTGGGGTTATTTTTTGGGGAAATTTGTCGGGGATATTTTTTGGGAAAATTTTTCGGGGATATTTTTTGGGGATATTTTTTCGGGATATTTTTTGGGATATTTTTTGGGGAAATTTTTCGGGGATATTTTTTGGGGAAATTTTTCGGGGATATTTTTTGGGGATATTTTTTTGGGATATTTTTTGGGGATATTTTTTGGGGAAATTTTTCGGGGATATTTTTTGGGGTATTTTTTTGGGATATTTTTTGGAGATATTTTTTGGG